TGGCAAAAAGAGCTCTACTAGAAGTTGCTTATGATTGTGCAGATAAAAACTCAAAGTTATATCAGGTAATAAAAAATGATTTCTATATGGACGATTTGATGACAGGTGCGGACTCCATAAAAGAATGTGTAAACATTCAATTTGAAATCAGTCGGCAGCTAGAAAAGTTTGGATTTCATTTGCGAAAATGGATGGCAAACGAAAAGGGAATTTTAGGTGAAATTTCGGACTCTGGAGACAGTTATATTATTAAAGTAGAAGACGGAGAAGCTGTTAAGACGCTCGGTATACAATGGGTGCCGAAATCAGATAATTTTACCTTTTACATCGAGTCAGTAGATAGTACTAACATAACTAAACGCAAAGCACTGTCTATATTGGCTCGAATCTATGATCCACTGGGTGGTTGACACCAACAACAACAATGGCGAAATTATTTATACAAAAATTATGGCTTATGAACTTGACGTGGGATACGAAGTTAGACATTAAATTATCTCACGAATGGAATGCGATTGTTTCAAGGATTTCGACTATTAAAGATATAAAAATTCCTAGATGGATATCAACTTTAGCTGACACAAGTTTAGAGCTTCATGGATTTGCGGACGCTTCAGAGAAGACTTATGCAGCAGTAGTTTATGCTAAAACTTCTAATGCTATTACTATGCTAGCAGCAAAGTCTAAAGTAAATCCGATAAAAAACAAAAAGACATTACCCAAGCTGGAGTTATGTGAGGCTCATCTGTTAGGAAAACTTATGAAAAGCATTAAAGAAGTTATAAACAGAGAAGTCAAAATATATGCTTGGAGCGATTCAACAATAGCATTATCATGGATCAAGAACGAAAATAAAACTAAAGATAAATTTATTGGGACTCGTGTAAGAGAAATCAAGCAATGCATGCCTTCGGCAACGTGGAATCATGTTAGGTCAGAAGACAATCCAGCGGATGTGGCTTCAAGGGGCTTGAAACCAGAAAAACTTGCAGCACATAGTTTATGGTGGAATGGTCCTACATGGTTAAAAGATGAATCAAACTGGCCAACAGCAACTGAATCTGTTCTTTGTGGAACAAATAATATAAACTCTTCACAGAACATAATCAACGATATAATAGATCGGTATTCCAATTATAGGAAATTATTATACGTCATTGCATATATAAGCAGATTCATCAGAAAGCTAAAAAAGGAGAAGTTTCCTGTGTGGTTGACAGTAGAAGAATTAAGGGAGGCAGAAAATATTATAATACGGCATACTCAACATTTATATTTCACAAAAGAAATCAATTTGATCAAAAACAGAAGAGAACTTCCATCTGGTTATAAAATTTGTAGTCTTTACCCGTTTCTGGATAAAAATGAAATACTGCGAGTCGGAGGCCGGTTAGAAAATTCTCCATTCTCTTTTGCTAGAAAACATCCAATACTATTACCAAAATGTCACTTAACGATGCTAATAGTTGATGATTATCATAAAAATACACTACATGGCGGTATAAAACTAATGGAAAATATGTTGAGGCGGCAATATTGGATAATTAATGCTAGAAATATTATTAAAAGGTATGTTCGAAGCTGTGTTAGATGTATACGATATAGGCGTGAAACCGCTACACAGTTAATGGGGAACCTACCGGAAAACAGAGTGTCAATATCGAAGCCATTTGAGCATGCAGGAATATATTATGCAGGCCCCGTACAAATGAGAGTATCAAAAGGAAGAGGTCAGAAATCATATAAAGGTTATATAGCCGTTTTCATTTGTATGGCTACGAAAGCAATCCATTTAGAAGCTGTAAGTGACCTGTCAACAGATGCGTTTCTGGCTGCTCTTAGAAGATTTTTCGGTAGAAGAGGCAAAAGTTCGCATTTATATTCAGATAATGATACAAATTTTGTCGGTGCTGCTAAGAAAATAGATGATGAATATGAAAAAACTATTAGAAAACTTTCATCACTTGCTGGGACGATGGCAGCGGAAAAAATTACATGGCATTTTATTCCCCCTTTGGAGGAATCTGGGAGGCTGCAGTCAAGTCGATGAAACATCATTTAAGACGAGTCATTGGTGAAGTGAAATTAACTTATGAAGAAATGTCGACACTGTTAATTCAAGTGGAAGCAGTGTTAAATTCTAGACCGTTATGTAAAGTACGAGATGATACAGAGAATACTGATGTTTTAACTCCCGGCCATTTCCTAGTTGGAAGACCTTTAATTGATATTCCAGAGGAAAGTTGTTCAAAATCAATTGATTCTCTTAATCGGTGGAAAATAATTCAGAAAATAAAAGGTGATTTCTGGAATAAATGGAAAAATGAATATCTTGCAAGTCTTCAACATCGTCGCAAGTGGAAGCATTCTGGCCCAAATATAAAAGAGGATCAGGTAGTTCTTATCAAAGATGAAAACACATCACCAGCTAGATGGCCTTTGGGTAAAATTATTGAAACACATAATGGTACGGATGACAAAACTCGAGTTGTTACAGTTAAGATGCAAGATGCCATTGTAAAAAGACCGGTAATAAAAAATATGTCCTTTAGATGTTTATCATGATCCAGATATCGGTTCTAAGTTAAAGGGAGCATCTAAGAAACCAGAAATGAACATCTCCAAAGTATTTCTAGCAATGTTCTTGTTAGTGTTTGGTCAAGTAGCAGCGGTACAAAACACAACAAAAACAATAATATCTCCATTTAATGAAGGAACAACGGTTTATTTAGATCACTTAGGTAAAATGGATGTTACATCTTCAAAATGGAACATGGTGGTCTATTACGATTTAACGACATATAGCATCAGTTTCGCAGCTAACAGATTTAATTGAGCGTAGTTGGCAGATATGTGGTAGACTTGGAGAGTTTAGATATCATTGTGAAGAAACTATGATAAGAATGAAACATAAAATTGCCGAAGTAAAATCCAATAATAAGTTATTTGGCTTAAAAGACAATAATCGTATCAAGAGATCTTTAAATGCTGTTGGTTCCATATACCACCTACTGTTTGGATTAATGGACAATGACGATCGTAAAGAATTAGAACACGACATGAGAAATCTTTTAAGCAATCAATTCAAGATTGAAAACCTGCTTCGCAATCAAACCTCATTGGTTAATGCTACGATAAATGTTTTACAGAAAACTACCAACGAAGTAAACGAAGGTTATAAGCAAATTCAGGAAAAGGTTGACAACATGATCGAGATCACAAATGAACAATATTTTATCTATAAAGAGTTCATTAAATTTATGGCAGTCGCAAATCAAATGGAGGCTCAACTACAAGAAATAGAAAAGATTCAATTTCAAGTGCTAAGGCTACTAATAGATGTTAATCATGGAAAAATTAGTTCAGTTCTGTTAAGACCGGAACAACTTAGCTTGGAAATTGCAAAAATAAAAGCATGGCTACCAGAGAAGATGCAATTACCTGGTGATACATCCAATCAAATTGCCACAATTATCCGTCTTCTAACAGGAGAGGCAATAATTGTGAACAGCAAGCTAGTTATCAAAATACAAATTCCTCTGATTACAATAAAATTTTCCAACATTTTTAAGGTAGTTCCAGTTCCGGTCAAACATGGCGATACGAACGTAGTGGCGTCCATAGCTCAACCTTACCTAGTCTACAGTCACGAGAGTGATGTTTACCATTTAACGTCTGAATTGGAGTGGCGTCAATGTAAAACCATATCTGACCGACAATACCTATGTGATGAGACTTGGGCATGGCAAGATGCAAACGATAACTCCTGCGAAGTATCTCCTTTGAAACCACATAAGAAGATTGTATGCCAGTTTGTAGAGGCCAGTAACAAACATATGTGGGTAAATCTAAATAATCGTCGGCAATGGATTTTTAGGGCATCATTAAACGCTACTTTACACGTATTTTGTGACCAGAAGCATCAAGACCCGTTTTCACTTCCACAGCAGGGTCTGTTGATACTGCAATCAGGGTGCTCTGGCCAAATTGGAAAGACGCAAATACCAGCAAGCAATCATAACAATGTATCAACTCAAGGGGATTTTGGTATACAATTGATAAAACATATGCAAGATACATCAGCTGATCTATTGAAGCCATTAAATTCACACTTAATCGATCATAAAGAAGACATCATTAAGATTAAGCAACAGATTCACCGCATCCAAGCAGAAGATTGGACCCTGAAAGGTTTACACTTCCATCACGCAACTGGACACATATCATTAAGTATTTTATGTATATTTATCATGATTATCCTAGTTTACTTTATAAGAAAATGTTTGTTAAAGGGGAAGGCGAATGTGATTATTATTCGTCGACCACAAGAAACCTAGTACTAAAATATTTTATTACACTTTGGCGGGCCGCAGAATGTTCAAATTTAAATAAATTTTCTCAACATTCTTATCTTAAGGAAAACTCTGCGGCCTTTACTATTTAGCTATTTTTTATTTAGGCATGATAAAATTGGTTTTTTTAATGTATTTAGGATAAGAAATCCGTGCACATTAGCAGTGGTGGTTGTTTAAATTGCTTATCATTCATGTAAGCAAAATACCACCAACGCACAAGAAGATAACAATTACTTGATTATTTAGGATAGAGTATTTTCTTTTCTGCTCAAATTGCTTATTTATACATGCTCAAATTACTTGTATATTTAGGATAGAATATTTTCTTTGTTTATTTTATGATCAAATATTTTGTATCTTTAATTTGAGAGATAAACCAATATCATGCATTTAGTGATAAGGATAGATTTTAAGTTACTATATAAGCAGTTCATTTTTAAAAATAAATTCAGTGTCTTACAAACATTCAATGAGTATTAAATTTTTACTACGGGATAAATTTTTAATAAGGTCCTTGCCGCCATGATTCCTTGATATGATTAGCGCTTTAATATTCCTTAAATTATAAACTATATTCTCTTATTATTGTCTTGACTTTTGAGATTGACCAACCAGGTCCCTGCCCGGGCGGCAATTGTAACGACACACTTTCTGTCGCTGATGATGCTGAGATATACTCAGCCGTCGTCCAGGGGTCGTTGCAATAGAATTTTTATTTTAGAAGTCAAAGACAATGTGATATAGTAATTCAATTATTTTTTTAGGAAAATTTAAAATAAAATAAGGTTTTACAATCTAATATAATTATAATATAATGCTGGTTTGCTAATTTGATGACTACGATTATTTGGAATAATTGTGCTTCGATGATTGTTCCGATTGTTGTTTCCACGTCCCTGAAATGTTGCTGTCAGACAACACTACTCGTGCTAATCTTGGTGTTTTGTCAGAAGACATCGTTAACTAGAGATTAGAAGTGTTATGTTGGGTTACAGCCTTGGTTAGCATTCATTAATGTTAGGACGTATTACTACCCTAACTCAAATCTACAGAAAATCCTACTAGTCGAGATGTATCATGACTACCTTGGCTTTATTTACATATAAGACTACATATACAATCTACTCATCAAGACGTATGTACTACCTTGACGCTATACAAGACTAGTAGTCAAAACGTATGTACTACCTTGACGCTATAGTTCTACTGACTTGTTTCACGAAGACGCATTAATACCTTTGAGAGTTTCCCAACAAGTGCCCTTGCTTGTACAATGCGCGTTTATTTATACTCAACCGACCGAAGCTTTTCCTGTAGCGCATCGGTACATTTGACGTTGGTATTTTTGATACTTGTTGTCTTTTGATACTATTGTTTGCCTGGGTGTAACTTCTGTGGTTTGTGTTTTCGTGCATTCTTGAATTCGCCGTGCTTTGTATTTAGTTCAACCAAAGCTTTCATGCTTTGACGTTTCTTCTCTTGTTTACAAACGTGTTTTTTTTATATAGTGCCGGTGTTTGTGGTTTGTTATTTATATTTATTTATTAATAAATAATAAAAAAAATTAATAAAACAAAAAATAAATAAATATATTAATAGTGAATGAATAAGGTGTGTATATTTTTCACTTATTTAAATACTTTTTTTTGTTAATTGCAATAGTAATTTCAGATGTATTCCGTGTGTCACCGATGCAGATGCGGGGTATTACTTGTGAGTTATTTTAATATAATATAATATATATGAAAAGTGAAATTTTTGTAAATTTAAATCACTGTGTATTCTAGCAAAGTAAATTTAATTTGCAAAATCAGTTTGATAAATTTGTTTTTCCATCTTCCATCACATTCACTTAAAACAGCTGATAGAGACAGCACTTGAAGCCCAAAAGCTCGAAAATAATATAAGAAAAACAGTGTTGCACATCGATAAAAAAAAAAACAACACTAATACGTGTTATTGTGTAATAGTGTAATAAATTTTTGCTAAATAATTTTTTTTCTAAATTTTTGCTAAATAATTAAATTAAATAAATAAGCGAAAGGGCGCATAAACTATAAATTAACATCATTTCATATTAATTTTTATATATTAACTAATATTTATATATACTTATATGTATAGTTGATTCTTAGTGAAAACTAAGGATCAGTTAATCAGACTCGTGCGGTTTGGTACGTTTTTAGCGTTCTTATTTTCGGTCGCGAGTTCGGCGCGACAATATGGATTGCTCGAAATGTAATAAGTCGCTTCGCAATGATAGCTTCATAATATGTCAAGGGGCATGCCAAAAACGATTCCACCGCACGGTTAAATGTAGTGGCTTAGACGATTACGCGGAAGGAGTTTTGGATAGGCCCTTTGTAAGATTTATGTGCGATGACTGCTTTACACTCATCCACAACATCGATGAAGTGCTTGAAAAAATGCAACGAACAATGGCAAAGGATGGTCAACGCTTCTGTGAACAACTGGGCGAATACAAAAACCATTTCGAAACAGCACTAGCTAAAAGTCATGACAGCTTAATGCAAGCCCAGCAAAAAAGCGAAAATGAGCTAAAACTCTTGCTAACAGCAGTCGAAAAAAAATTCAGCCAGCGTTTGGAAAATATGAAAGAAGTGAAACGGGTATGTGAAGAGGGTGCCATAGAAGTTAAAAAATTTCGTGAAATTGCAGAAACGATAAAAACCCATAACGAGAAAGTGCGCGATGAAATCGAAAGCAATAATAAGCAAAACAAAAAATTTGTGAAGAGCTAAAGGAAATCCAAAGTAACGCTTTACAGCCGCACAGTTCAAAGCAAGCTTCATATGCCGAAGCACTAAAAGCAAACAAACCCAAAAGGGTAGAAAAAGTGCCAGAATTCAGAAAAGAAGTGCCTCTCGTGATCAAACCTAAATCCAAACAAAATATTGCAAAAACAAAGCAAGACCTAAACAACAAGATAAACCCGGAAAATTTGAAAATCGCTAACATCTACGAAAGAAACAACGGCACCATTGTTATTGAGGCAGAAAGTGATTCCGAGCGTGAAAAAATAAAATGTGCTGTAGAAGGCGCTATGAGCGAGAATTATGAAGTAAAAGTTCCAAACTCTATTAAGCCACGATTTACTATCTCCAGAATCAGTTTTAAATATAACGAACAGGAAATTATCGAAAAATTGCGAAAACAAAATCAGTGCCTCTCTGATTGTGAACTAAAACTAGCAAAAATGTACGAAATAAAACGAGATAATAAAGTATTTTACAACGCAATATTTGAAACGGACTCGAATACTTTTACAAAAGCTATGGAAGCAGAAAAGCTAAACATTGGCTGGGAAAAGTGTAAAATTTACGATGGAACGGATTTAATGATATGTTACAAGTGCCAGGGCTTCAACCATAGAGCGCCTTACTGCAGGTACGACGAATGTTGCCGTAAATGCCATCAAAGACATCGCACTCGCGATTGCAATGAGGAGCCGGTTAACAAATGCATAAATTGTATACGTGCAAATGAGAAGCTAGGCTTGGGCCTTGACGAAAATCATGCAGTGCTTGACAAAAACTGTCCCGTGTATCTCAAAACACTTGAACAGAAGAAAAAGAAAATCGGATACTAGCAGAGAACAAACAAATCGTGCAGTCCTCTCCCTGGGCCAAAAGGGTTGAGCGTTGGGTTCACAACCCGCCTCGTCAAACATATTGTGACTCATCATCAACCAAACAAAAAACATAAAACAAGTCAAAAAAAACGGAAGCGTGATATAATTCTGGGAACATGGAACGTACGTACGCTGCTGAGAGCAGGAGCACTACAAGAAACAATTAAGCAAATGGAAAAGTACAACGTTGACGTGCTAGCGGTCCAAGAAGTACGGTGGGAAGGATGTGGTGAAATTGAATGCAACGGTACAAAATTCCGTTTTAGTGGTAACGCTGAAAGGTCTGGTAGGTCGGGGACTGGATTTCTGCTCAACAAACGAGTGGAAAAATCGTTTTTGGGCTTCAGACCAATAAATGACAGAATATGTGTAATCTCCCTTAAAGGAATGTTTAGCAAATTTACGCTGATAAATGCCTATGCTCCAACAGAAGACGCAGATGATATCGCTAAAGAGACCTTTTATACAGACTTAGACGAGACATTGTGCAAAATTCCATCACATGATACAAAAATATTACTTGGAGACTTCAATGCAAAAATTGGAAGAGAGCAATACATTTCTAATGTAGCTGGCTTACACTCACTACACACCGTGTCATCAGACAATGGTAAACGGTTGTGTCAGCTCGCAACTGGCTCCGGTATGTACATTAGCAGCACGCATTTTCCACACAAAAACATACATAAGGGGACATGGCAGCTACCAGGCTCAACAACAGCCAACCAAATAGATCATGTTCTTATAGACCATATTAAGAAATCGTTTATCCTTGATGTTCGTAGCTGTAGAAGTGCGAATGTCGATAGCGACCATTTTCTGGTAAAAGCCACAGTAAGACAAAGTCTAAAGGGCGTGCGTAGAAATTACGGATCTAGAAGGAAAAAATGGGACGTTGACAAGTTACATGATAGCGAAACGGTCCATCAATATGAGCAGAGAGTAAACGAATCACTTAGACATATCACGAACTATACCAATATAAACGAGCATTGGAAAGTTTTTGCAAATTCAATCACAAAAGCAGCAGAAGAAACCGTTGGTGTGAAAAGAAATCGTAGACGCAACAATTGGTTTGATAACGACTGTGCAGTCGCAGTGGAAGCTAAGAATGTAGCCAGGGAGCAAATGTTAAATGACAACAGCACTAATAATCAAAACAACTACAAAAACAAACGAAAAATAGCAAATATAATATGCAAAAGAAAAAAAAAAGAAGCCGTCAATAGAGAAATCCTAAACATCAATAGAGATTTTGCAGATCGAAATGCTAAAGGTTTCTTCCACAACATCAAGCATCAAACAAAGGGTTTTCAAGCGCGAATCAACA